CTACTTGCTGCTTCAACGAGTACCACTGCCCCTGCAACTCCAACTTGTCCGTTTCTGCGTGCACTCGGTAAAAGTTGAGAAATTGATCCCACGATTTAGTGGGGCAACCACTAGCTAGGATTGCAGGGACTATTGTCGGTATTTGTATCTTGGACATAATGAGCTGCCAAGGCTTAACCGCCCGATCTACAGCTTCCGTCCCATGCTCCACCCTCAATGCTGAGATATTCGCATCCGTCTTCCCTACGCGAATCGTGTTCTTCGATTCTATTGCCCCAAGGCAACGCACCTGCTCCAACAAAGATCGAAATTGACTGGTGAAAACCATTACCGCCGTCTGTACATCATCCTCGGGGCTAAACTTCCCGGTGAATGCAGGGATTGTTATACCTACGCTAATACGTANTATTGCCCCGAGGCAACGCTCCTGCTCCAACAAAGATCGAAATTGACTGGTGAAAACCATTACCGCCGTCTGTACATCATCCTCGGGGCTAAACTTCCCGGTGAATGCAGGGATTGTTATACCTACGCTAATACGTATTGTTTCTTTAGAGGTTGGGACTTCCCTGTATTCATCCTCCGGTTTTATCTTGACCCTCTGCAAGGCCCGCGCGAGGGTGTCGATGAGGCTGACGTCCGCCGGCGATCGGGGCTGGTCTTCAGGTCGCGGGCTTGACTCCGAGCCAGCCGGCCTCTCCAGCCGGGTGTCGCCTCCTTCGGAAGGCATGCCCTCGCTCTGTGTTGCGGGGCGCTCTGCTGCTGCTGCTTCCAGTTTGATCTTGACCTGCTCCTTGATAAGAGCGTCGATTACGTTTCGCTGCTCGTCCGAGAGCTGGAGCTAATCCAGCTGCTGCTCCATGATTTCCGTGTCACTGTTCTCTGGCCGAACCCTTTTGTAGCTAGCCCCACCTCGGGGTCCCGTATGATATAACCACGCTAGCGTATTAGGATAATCCGAACTGGGGGTAGCTTGTCGCAAGACGTGTGTTGAATAGGGTATCGGCAACTCGGCGAGCTTGCGCCGAGGAGAAAAACTTGTTTTTATTAGTTGCATCCACATACACACACAAGCCCCGTTGAGGGGGCGACGCCGTATACAACAGGGGTACCTTGTACATCCCTGGAATCCATTCTACGTACCACACATGTCACCCGGTATTCCGCTCTACCTCATTCCATGTAAAAATCCAGCACCAACCACTTGGCATTGCTACAAGTATATCTATCATGGCCACCACGAGCCATCCTCACACTCCACCAAGGCAGCCGAAGAGGAAGAGGGATGCCGCACCGACAAACTTCGGACCGGGCTCGGATGATGAGGTACGGTAAGACCATCAGTCAGTGTAGTGTGATGGACACCTGTCCCTTGAGATTGCAGGCCGTCCACTCTGAACGAACACGAACCCACCACAAACACACACAATGATGCACCCTCTCTTCATCCGTGCAACCGTCCTTGACCCCACAGAACTCTCACACTCCCCCCGGGGCGAGGCGGAAAGTACGACCCGGGACACCTCTCGGAAAACAGTCTCCGAACACAGCAAGGAAAGCACCGGTGTGTGTTGGTACCGCACGTGACCTCGAGCAGTCCGAGGAGGAAGAGGAAGAGGAGGAGGAGGAGGAGGAGGAGGAGGAGGAGGAGCGACAGACATCCGACCAGGCGAGCAGTGATAAACATACGAGGCAAACCCCTTGGATCTCGGTGAGAAACTCTCTGGGATATTCGTTGGGTTGTTTTATCACAGAATATGATCTTCACGTGCTACTAAGTTCCGAGCTATTCTGTTTTGATTATCCGGGCGGGAGATAGACAGGAACAATCTAGCTTGCCATATCTCACGATCTCGAGGGGCCGGGGAATACGTTTTAGAGAGAGAGGGCGGGGGGGGGGGGGGGGGGGGGG